AAGCACTTTAACCTGTATAAATAATATAAAATTAAATTGATTTAAACAGCCAATCATACGAAAGTCTTGCTATGGTCTATATGTACCTTACAATCCTATTTCAAATTCAGAACCCATATTTAAACGTAGGATTGTTAATGGGGTAATATACATACTTCCAACCCAAGTTAAAAATATGCGTGTAAAGTTGGAGCAACCGGTGCAGATCTTTAAGCAACCCAGAGTAGAATCTGGAGCCAGGTTAATTTAATAGCGTGGGTTAAAGGTCAAATTAGCCCACAGCCTGATTTAGAGGAAGTGGTAAACTACAAAAATATTACTTATACTTAGATTGAAGTTCCGAATTCTTAAAGAACCAAACTTAGTCTTTGTTACAACAATATGATTTTACTACCATATAGTTTCATGATCTATCTTATAACTCTTTTGCCACGAGACTATGATAACTCTTTATATAGTGAGTTTATAGTTCGTGTAATAAGTGTTCTATACAGAAACTTTATTAAAAGATTTATACGTACAGGTGGGTTTGTGTTATTTACTTGATGTAGATTCTAATTTTACATTTATCCGATTTGCCGATGCTAGGAGCCGATCTGTGCAACAAAAATTTTTTAAACCGTTATATCTAATTTTTATAATATGAAAATAAAAGTTTATTATTAAGTAAAAAATGTTCTAAATGTTTTAAACAATATAATGAATATAAAAACTCAAATTTCAAAAAATTTTTGATTTATCTCTTTTTTATTGACCTCCCCCACATGTCTCGTCCCCGTGATCCTGAATTCAAAAATCTCACTTACTCTCAGTATTTTGAAAAATATTCAATCACACCCTCATCGCCCGCACCAACACCGCGCCATATTTATTGTGATAATTTATCTAATTACGTCGTAAAGAGAACAAAAGAAATATTAACAAGATACTGATTTCTCACTATCGAAGACGGAGAACCATATTTTTACCAACAATTATTATTAAATGTCCTTACAAGAAATGAATCTGATTACAAAATTACCACAGATGGAACATACCGAGACAAATTTTTATCGCTTTACCCAGACTTCTTAACCAACTTACAAACTCAATCAACAATCACACAACATTCCCGACTTACGCGTTTAAATAACCAATTTACTGAAATGTTAGACAGATTACTATTATCTTTAAATGAACAACTCCCACATAATATTCACCACATCATACAACTTCAAATAGAAAACCTAAAAATACTTCCTCAAATATTTCCATCAGTAGCCATGCTCGAATTACCTCAAGATCAATACCATGCACTATCGACTATCTTTACATATATAGGTCAAAACAACGGTATTAAATGGCACTATTTTTTTATAACTGGTTTAGCTGGAACAGGAAAATCTTATATTATCAACATGATTATAAATATGCTTAATGCAAGACATTCAACATATCTATTACTAGCGCCTACCGGGGTAGCAGTTCAGAACATAGGAGGAAAAACTATTTACTCAGAACTACGAATAGTATCTACTGAAAGAGGTTTTCAAACACATGTCTTAACAGACAAAGAACTAAAAACTAATTTACAAAAAATTAATACTATTATAATGATGAAATCTCAATGGTTTCTGACGAATTATTGGATTTTCTCTCCAATCTGTTTGCCAATCTTTATGACAACGCTATTGCTTTTGGTAGTATAAATATCATAGTTGTTGGTGATCTTGCACAACTTCCCCTATTACCGGTCAATCTGTTTTTTGTGCAACTGTCTGACAACTATTCTATCCATTATTTTTAAAAACTTCACAATGTCAAAGCGATGACCCACAATTTTTTTCCTTACTAGAAGAAGTACGAACTGGTAACTTCTCTGAAAACAGCTGGCAAATTTTACAACAACGTCATTCACAATTTTTAATAAGACCCGTAATTGATATAATGCTTAACACTACTTATATTGTTAGATTTAGAGAAAATGCACAACGAATCAATAAAATAGTCTGTGATCTATTACCTACCCTTGACAATAAATTTCTAATATTACGAGCTATTGATGTTATAAATTCTTCAGAATGGGACCCTTTAACCTCTAACCAAATGTTCAAATCAAAAACAAATTTACCATCATGCGTTTGATTACTACCAGGTGCGCGTGTCATGTATCTTAATAATTCTCTAATTGAACAAGAAATATGTAACGGTACTATAGGAGTAATCACTGATATAAACCCCATAGACCAATTTACACAAATTGCATTTTCTGTTAAAGGTTTGATAGTCGACGTAGATATTTATAAACATACATATTATTTCGAAATTAATAGGAATAACTGTCACCATACCCAATTCCTCTTACAAAACTGTTTTGCTCTCACTGTTCACAAAACTCAAGGTCTAACATTGTTAAAAGTATCTCTTGCGCTATATGAAAATATTTTTCATCTGACCAAGCTTACGTAGCCCTTAGTAGATATCCTAGCTGGAATAATATTGAAATATCCTATCTTGACAGGTCAGCTTTTATAACAAACCAAGATGTAATTCTAAAATATCAAAGGTTAGAAGAAATTTCTAGATTAAATCCTCACATTTTCTCATAAATTTGCACTATATACACTATTGTTGTGAACTTTCAAAATGATTAACACCCAAATTCAACAAAAAAATAGTTAGAAAAAGAAATTATAATTTCACCGATTTACTTGCGTTTTATAAAAATCTCTAATATCTTCATTCTTACTCTTGTATCTCTCACAGATTATATCGTCCTGTGCTTTTTTAATCTTGATCAGCTGCTTTATTTCACTTTTCTCTAAACAAATGTTATATTATTATAAAAACCAAAACAGAAAAAAAAAATTACCCATATAAAAAATAAAACAACGGATCCTTTTTTCGTGTTACATATTTATTTTTCCAAATAAAAATCGTACATTTTGACTTTTAGAAAACAACATATCGTACGCTAATTTTAAAATCTTCATTACATATAATCGTTTTACAAATATCTCCTTAAAAAAATATATATATATAACGTTTTAAAATTCTGTGATATACTAACCTCAGGTGTCTAACATACTATGAAAATAAACAGTTATTTTTCTTTTTAAATTAAAAAAATTGGCCTACTGACTATAATTTTATATGATTAATCATAACCACTGCTATTGCGCAAAACATATAATCAATTAATTTAACTTATAAAAGTTAATATAGCAATCAAAATAAAATTTATACCTGCACATAAAAACAGTGTCTTGTCTAGATTTTTCATAATACTGTATGTAATATTATATATCTGTTATTTTATTTACTTACTATGTTAACCATTCAACCACAATATTTCATATTATTATTAATACACGTATAATAATTTACCTGTATACTATAACCCATGCTATAATTAAATAATTGTAATACAGAAATTATAATCAGTAAAAAATAAATCAAATTAAAAAATTTATCATAAATAAAAATAAATTTCACATAAAAAATAATATTGTTACTAAAATATAAAGAATAAATACTAAAAAATAGTATATGAACTTATATATACAATAATATAATTGTTTTTACTTTATTAATTAATTCATTTAATTTAATTAAATACCTTTAATAAATTCATAAAAAACTAACTAAGTTAACTCTAATTAATATCAACCTACGATAATATCGACCTAAGCCACAGACCAAATTTTTATAAATGTTTATATATCAAAATTCTTTTATATATATCAACTTTAACATAAACTCTCGTTAATATCACTATCAACATAAATATAAAAGTGACCCAAATAAATTAATACTAGCAAGCATCAACTATACTATATAAATTTTTAATAAATAATTAATAGAATACTTTTTAAAACTTTAAGTAATTTTTTCATAAAAATCTACCTCTATAATTTTATCTTATTTAACTTACTAATAAAATTTTACAAAAAATATTTTTAAATAAACCAAAAAAAAATTTTAATTAAACCAAAAAAAAATAATTTCTTAATGAAATTTTAAAATTTTTTATAAAAAAATAAACTTTATTTAAAAACTACAAAAAATACTCTGTATATTTTATTAACTTACACGTGGGTACTAGAAGATGATCTATTAGCTAGTTTTATGTAAAAACGTAGCTCAAATTGTAGATCTATCAAAAATGGAACTTTTGCCTTTCTGATTAGTCGACTTTTCTAATAAGAAAGCCCGTGCTACTGCGCACGGTTATTGGCTGCGCTAGTGCTTTGTACGTACCATGTACGTACGTACGTACGTACGCACGCACCGCATACGACTTTTTATCTTTGCCTCTATTTCACATTACCATTACAATGCTTAAATTAAGTTATTTTCCCGGTATTTTTTTACTATTTCTAATTTGTTTATTACTATTTATCACTTCCTTTCTAGAAGTTAGTGCGTCAAAGGGTGATCAAGACGTACATTTTCAAAATTGCGTTTCAAATTGTTTTGTAGAAAGATGCCGACAGAACCCACCAAGTCATACATTTATATTACGATTTTTTGCTTGGTCATGTGAAGACAACTGTAAATACGAATGTATGCACCAAATAACCAATAAAGCAATATCAGAAAATCGACAAATTCATCAATATTACGGTAAATGGCCATTCCATCGTTTTTTGTGGATCCAAGAGCCCGCTAGTGTATTATTTAGTATACTTAACGGCTGGGTGCACTACCATTACCTTCCGTATCTTTATCAGATCCAAGATTTTTATTATATGAAAAAATTTTACATATTTGCGGCATACGTAGCAATGAACAGTTGGTTTTGGTCAGCAATATATCATTCCCGAGATTTTCCAATTACAGAGGAACTAGATTATTTTTCAGCTGGACTTACTATACTGTATACATTATTTTATACCGTGTTGCGCATATTTCAAATACGCAATAAACAACAAACTTTATTATGGGCTTTAATTTGTATTTCTGGATTTTTGGCACACTGCTCATATTTACATTTTATTAAATTTGATTATGGATATAATATGATAGCTAGTATTATTGTTGGCATGTCAAACAATTTAATTTGGGTCGGTTGGTCAATAGTTCATTGGCATAAAAGACCGGATGATGCATGGAAGCCAGTTACAGCAACACTGCTCATCTTGCTAGCTATGTCGCTGGAGATATATGATTTTCCACCTTTGTTGGGAATTCTTGATGCACATTCCTTATGGCATGCTAGTACTATTTATATAGCCTCTTTTTGGTACGAGTTTTTAATTGAAGATGCCAAAATTGAAAGTTTCCGAGAAAGCAAAGGGAAAAAGATTGACAAAAACTGAAGAACATTTGTACATTATAACAAGATCGACAACAAGTGTGCTAGATGTTGGGAAAAGGGACAAATTGACAATTCAATAAAAATTTTTTTTTTATTTCAATCAAATTAAAATAATATTAGAAATATTTTTTAAATTAGTTCAATTAATAAAATTTTTATACTATAGTTCTTTAAAGTTTACAGTGTCAAAACTATTTTTTGTTAAATTCATCCCTTTTCTCGGCACTCGCTTCATAAATACTCTTTATATCAAAAAACTTCAAATTCATGATATTTATTAAGACGATGATGATCTAGATGAAACATTAACAAACATATGTAAATATTCGTTAATTGCAACAGTAAAGTTTATATTTGAAGACTTACTTGGCCCATTCAACACGAAGAATCAAATTGTCATAACCATAGCCGTTAATAGCCTGCAACGCTTTGGCTGCATCTTCACGCATTTGAAAACTGACAAAGGCAAACCCTTTACAAACATTTGTTTCTCGATCACGAGCAAGATAAACTCGAGAAATACCACCAAATCGACGAAAGAGGTCATGTATATCACCTTCAGTAGTATCTTCAGATAGATTTGTAACACGAATGGTGGCATCGTCTAAATAGTATAGTATATTTTAATGGATGTAAAAAAGCTCATGTAAAACTAAAATAAATTTTTTTTTGAAAAATTACCTTTACGTTCTTTAAATGTGTCCGAGCTACCTTTAGTTGCTCCTGCTCGTAAACTTGGTGGGATATATTTTCCACCACCAGTTGCATCAGGTTGCGTTGGCTCTGCTGCTGGTGCTGATGAGCAAAACAAATAATTTAATAACTCGGCGAAAGTCTCTAAAGGTCAAGCACTTTGTAAACTTACCAGATTCTTTTGACGCATCCGGGATGGTATTACTAATCTCATCTAAAGGCGGGAGCGTATCCTTATATGGACATTTAGTGGTAAAGTGATCACCTTTACATAAACGACAAAGAATTTGTTTGTGCTTCTTTTTACTTGCTCCAAGATCCTCATCCTTATCAGCATGCTGTCAAAGAAACAGAAATCAATCTACCTTGTAAACTTTAATACGAATTTAAGACAAATCGATATAGTCATGATAATTTACCTTGCCATTAGTTGAAAGCTTCAAGAATACCTGTTCACCGATGCTTGTAGTGCTAAGATCAGGTCCAACTTTTTTACCACGTTCTTCGCCAAATTTTGACCATTTCTAAAATCGAGAATTAATAATTAGGGGAATTACTATAAGAACATGACCTCCTTTTCAATATATTCATAGATATATTCGAAAATACCTTTCGTTCGGCAACAGCTTTATTAACACGCTCTGTAATTAAAGTTTTTTTAATCTTCCTTGTAACCTAAAAAAAAAAATTATTTATTTTTTGTCTTACGCTCACCCATTTATGAGTTCTTGATAGCATACCTTTACTTTTTTTCCGTCGTCGTTAGTTTTATATTCGACAACAGTTTTAATACCATTTTCGTCGGTGAAAGTTTCGAGGGGAAGTGGATCTGTATAAATGTTAATGGTATTGTTTTACTAAAACTCTGAACTCTCAATCAATACAAACTTGGCGAAAATTCTTACCAAATTCTTCTCCAACTTCGTCCGCCCAGCTTGGTTTCGGTGCAGCTCTGAAAAAAAAATTTTTTTTTTTTTTCTTAGAAAATTTATGATCAAGTATGATCAGTTTTAACGTCAAGAATACTTACACATCCACTGACATTTTTTTTTTGACGGTATGTAACGGTAGTATGAAATTTTTATATAGTTTGCAAATTCATCTGATTGGTTAATTTTGTAGATTTATCTCGAAGTGCTTCCGCAGCCGCAACACATAACATTAATTATGAACTATCGTAGCTCAAATGATATCGATATTTGTTACCGTTACGCTGTTATATCAAAGAGTGCACTTTGGAGAGGCTGCCCTGGTTGACTCGATTTACCCGATCCCAAAATTCATAAATCGGAACCAATAAAAATTACAGAAACTAACATAGAAAACATATCAAAATTTTATTACGTATAACAACTAACTTCCGACCTTTAAGTAAAGTTTTTAGCATGAAATTTTAGTAATATTGTACGTTTTCAAATGCTAAAGATATGAAGAATATTTTATATATTACGAACTCAACATTTCGGAGCCGAAGGTCCGGGATTTGCTTGACAGACATCCCGTGATAATTATAAAATATCTTTACGAGATTACGTACGTACGTACGTACTAGGTACATTGTGATGGATCTCCAACATCCAAAATCTAAAAACCATAATCCCGACGCGATAATTAATATTTAAAGATTAGTAATCACATTAACAATCATTGTCAAAACGTTAATTGTCACGTCGCATGACGTCAGTATCAGTATTATGACCCGTCGAGATTTTAGATGTCGGGATTTTGTGGTAGAACCCATTGTGATACGTCCGGAGTGTTAAAAAAGACGTGAAAATTCTAGAACTATGGAACGACATTGCATTTAGTTTACCTTTAATAATCCTCCACTTCGTTCCAGATAATTACTAGGAAACGAAACGATTCTAAAAATTTCTAAAACATTTTATGTAATACACATCACTCTGGCTTATCAACACATTAATGAAAAAAATCAAAATGCCGATAAAGAATTATGCCGACATTTTATATTAAAAATTGAGAAAAATGTCGGTATAAAAGATTTTACTATGATGTCGTTATATTCAGATGTCGGTATAACCAGAGTGACGTGTAGGTGGAATTAAATGTGTAGGATGAATCTACTGCGCAGTTTGCATAGCTTGCAAGCACTATATATTTCATACAAGCAGACATTATGCAAGCTAACCTGAATTATGCTAACTAGTCTGAATTACGCTGCGCAGCTTTTGAAAAATTCTGCGAAATGGCCCATTCCTAGTTAAAGAATTGAGATCTTGTTATAAAATCACCTCCGAGGCATTGCTACAAAAAATTCCGGAATTTTCAAGGTCTGCTCTAATCGGATTTTCCTGATTCTTCGATTTCCCACATAGGGACACCCCCCTTTTAAAACAGCTGTAATTAGGAAAATCATAATCGACCTATTTTTAGAAAAAATTTTTAGAAAGATCTAAAATGAAAAAAATAATCGGAGCATATAAAAAACATATAATATATGTAAAAATTTATTCTATGAATTTTTATTTGCGTAAAAGCCGAAAGCAAATTATAATAAACTTTGCGTTAAAGCTACGTCTTAATGTTTTTTTGCTTTATTGCATGAAAATCCGGGGAACATAAATGTACCAGGACCCTGAACGATACGTGTTACAAACTTCAACTACTTTTTATTAGACCTTATTTGTATATAACGATGTTTTATTTTAACGTATGTATTCAAATAGTTTCATCTGATTAACAATTACATTCATAACGTCTATTAAATATATATTATACTATAAATTACATACTAATTAATATATAATAGTTGCTATATAACATAGGTGTTATGATAATATTTCTTATTTTTTTTGCATTGTTCAAAATTTAAATATAACTTCTCTTAAAATTTTTGATTTTATCCATTTCTGTTAACCTTAAAGGCTTTTATCCACTTTTAATACGTAACCACTTTTCAAATCTAACCTCTATTAATTAAATCAGGTGATATTTATGATTTACGTCTAAACGTCTCATACAAATGTTCAGTCCATAAATGTCACTTGGTTTTTGCTATCACCAAGTATATGGCTAAGAAATTGAAGAAATTGAATACGTAAATCACATGACCAAAGCATGGTTTTCTTGGCAAAGATCGATATTAAAATTACGGAAATATCAACGTCGTTACTGCTAACGTTAAATCATGATATTCGTACTAGTTTCGTACTAGTTGATTGGTTGTCATATTGGTGATCCTTAGTGTTCCTTATCAATCATATATTATTCTCAACTTTAAACTCCCTCGAACTACGTACTAATGCTCAAAAAACAAAAAAAATTTCGTTAATGATGCATATTAAATAACTTGTTATGAGAAAGCCACACGGTGGTTTTATTCTTTACGATCTATTCATAACCTTGTTTTCGATGTCAATGAATTGAGTAGAAAGATGATCATTCAGAACAAAGCTTACGCGAATCGATCCTGTGTTGCTGCGGATTTATTAAACCAACCTTTGACGAAAAAAGTGTTTAAGAGTAGCAATTGATAGAAAATATAATCGAAACAAGAGATATTTCTGAAGGCTTTGCTTGATGAGGCTGTTTTATGCAATGAACTTACTATATGCATACATTAATTGTTTTTTATACGGCATTCCCTTATAATAACAATCACTTTAACCCATCCAATGTTAACTTTGAACAGTAAAGCGTAGCCACATGAAAGTGGAAGTCTTAAATTTCCTGTCAACCTTTCAAAAATATCTTTGCATTACAATATGCGCGAGTGATGTGACATATAAACAATGATCAACTAATAACGATGAAAACAGTGTTCAAACAATAGATACGATCGACCGTACCGTCTCTAAAACAACGGAGCAGATTCAGATCTAGAAAATCGACCTCCTCTTTTTCAATTGACGAGACGATTTTTTTTTTTTTTTTTTTTTTTTTTTAGTTGGCGATGTGAGATTTTCATAAAATCAGCTGACGGTATTTGTTCTGGCTCTAACCTTGGATACCAACTTGTTTGATTGCCATCAATGTACCGGGCGGGAACACGGAAAAGTGAGGCGTGCCCGTTTAACAAAATCTATATCTGTCATTGATGTATGATTTCGTTGTAAATGAAAAGGCGTGGTTTCCGTATTCGTTAGCCACAAATGGAAATTAAATGGAGGGACAATATTAAGTTGATGATAAATTATAAAAAGCCCCTGTTCTTTCAAGCTGAGATATAATGTTGGGGCTTTGAGCTTTTTTTTTTTTTTTTTTTTGTACTCCGATTATTAAAAGTTTCGCAAGTGAAATTAATTAAATTTTCGCGTGTAATTAATGTTATGGTAATTAATGATTTGAAAGTGTATGACTTGTTCTTGTTTCTCAATAAAAATTTTTTGATGATATAGAAATTTCGATAGGCAAAACACGAGATCATATGCGTACAATTCAGCACACATTTTATTGTAATTCACCGTAAATGATAAATTCGACGATACATAATCCAGTTCGCACTTCAGTGGATTCAAAGCCGGGTAAAAACGGTGCAAAACATTTCGAAAATAAACCACGTCGAAAATCTACATCAGATGTTGGAACGCAAACAAATATTAAACCAACGATAGAAGAATCGTCGACAATATGTGATAAAGAAGGATGTTTAGCAGCATGTAAATCTTTTTTTCGACGGTGTAAAGGATTATTGAATATTCTCGTATATTTTCGTTTTGCTTTGGTGTTAACTTTGTACACCCTGATTTTCGTGGATGTTATTCATTTAATTACAAAAATTCCTAAAGATTTTTGGGTTGAATGCCTATTACAGGTGATGCGATACAAATGATCGAGCATGATGATTCATGGAACGCAATAGTTTTTTAATTTGAAATATTAAACGTGTATAGGTTATAAATGCCGGGTTTACTATTTTCACATTATTCTCACATCCAAAAAGAATTGCCAATTTTGTGAGGGCAATTAAAATATATAAAGCAAGCCGAAAGTGGCATCGACAACTTGGTGATGAATATCCCCTTGATATTAAACGGGCGCAAAGACGTGTGAATAAAGATTATGAATGGTATATATTTGAAGGAGATAAAGCATTTATTTGTCCACCAGGAAAACTGTTGATAGTCCTCACCTTTTGGAATATAGGTAGTTTAGCACAATATGGTATTTGCGGTAAGTTTTTTTATCTTTGATTATTACGATATTTATTATAGTTTATTTTTTTAAATAAGTGAATAGCAATTTGAATAATCATGTTTGTTCTTGGAATCATTTCCTAATAGCCGTTTTATGGTCCACACAACAATATCGACCTGTAGTAATATATCTTGTATTGGACATCATTGCTTTGATATGTGAAATTATGCCAATCCCTTTAGTGGTCGTACAATCAAAACGTGCGAGGTTGGCACAACATTTTGCATCCTTTGAACCTAATCAACGACGATTGTTAAGTCCAAGGCACCGTAGGTCTATAGCTTTATAGTTTTTGATCGAAGAAGTTTGTATTAGATATTGTGGGAGAATTTTATTGCATTACGAGGGGTTTTTTCTTGTACTTTTATCTAATATCTTCGCATAGGTTGTTAAATGGTTGCAATCGATTCTCTTGAAATCTCAAGGTCTGAAAATGTACTGATAAAACCGATAATACATTATACTATTTTTTATATTTCTATTTGTTTTTTTTTTCATTATCATTTGGTAATTTAATCTGAAACTGCAAACCAAATATATATAATTACAATAAAAAAAAAAAAACTTAATATTTTATTAATACTGTAAGATGCACTTATTGAGAGAAACAGATTCTACTGTAGCATGTCATGCACGTGACAATAGTATCTAAATTTAATGGTTACTCATACTCAGGACTTGATGTTTTTTTAGTATAAACTCTGATTTGGTATAATAAAAGGATAAATCCGGATGCCAACTATGCTAATTCTAAACAAGGTATATTTCAATGATTCATTCTTCGTTTTAAGATTTAACCCTTTATATCGATATATCCGTCCTATGAAATTATTTCTTGATTAAACTCGATTTTATAATGATCCTGATTCTCTTTTGGTTATTATGTGATCCTACGCGGCAACTAGAAATATTATTGGATAATTTCGCGTTGTCACACAAAATTATTTACGTACACGGTTTATATCGGCTCATTATGTATTATTTGGTATATAGTGTTAAAAAAATAATAATAATAAAATCAGAGTCGGTTTCCGTTTATGTGAATAATGCATGCTACTCAAGCTACCTTTATGCTTGGGAAGGTCAGCATCCCTGCTTGGTTCATAACAAAAATTAAATATAGCGAATAATAAAAGCTTATAAATAAAAACCAAAATAATTCTAACATGATTTCTTTATAAAATATAAATTTTAGTTAATTAAAATTATTTGAAATTAGATCATTACAGTCGTCCAGTTGATTATGTTGATATTTCGCGGACTTCTAATAAAAATTGTAGATTGCATTCGTACGATTCTAAGCAGGTAAAATTATCAATTTGGCCCAGAAGATCAGGAGACATCACATTTTACATTTCACGACTATAAAATTTTCTTTGCAAAGAAAATTTTATAGCCGTGAAATGTAAAATGTAATATCTCCTGATATTCTGGACCAAATTTGATAATTTTACCTGCTTAGAATCGTACGAATGCAATCTACAATTTTTATTAGAAGCACAAGTACAGGGTACTTAGTAAAAAATTGAGTCCGCTTTCCCTATAAAAAAAGTCGATCCGTTTTATATTCCGTTGTGTTTTGTCCATAAATGTTGCATATTCACGGAATTTATAATCTTAAATCATGGAGATTATTCGGCTTGTCTATCATGTTGCAGAAATTTTATTTTGCTATTATTTTATATATCATGTGACTTGAAATTCTTAATTTTTATTGGCTAAGAATATCAACAAAAGTAAATTGTTTTTTTTTTTTATTAGTGATTCTGCCTTTATTTTTTATTGGATGTATCAGAAATTTATATACAGATGATATAGTAACTTTTTGTACTATAATTCTACGCAATAAAGACTTACTCAACCTTATGACCCCAGGCGTAATCTGCCTAGCAGCCAATTTGCTTATATTGGATTCTCAACTTTTTGAGAATTTGATTTCTCCAATTATTAGCTGAGGGCTAGCTGCCTGCATCAAGATACAAAAAAGAAAAAATAAATACTAACAAAGAAAAAAAACACAGAGATATAGAAGCTATAATAAAAGATACAGCCAAGAAAAGAAAAAATAAAAAGAGTATCAAAAAAATGTATTATCTAATGTTACAATTGTAAGTCTGTAAAAAGTTTGTAAAAATTATATATTACTAGACAGGTTATTATATATATTTTTGCTATGTTTTTTAACCTTTTTTAAGTATATTTTTAATTTTTTTTAATTTTTATATTTTTAATCTATTACTGTATAAGTGTGTATATATATAATACATAGGTTTTTTTTTTTAATAATGCTAGCCAAAAATTAGTATAAATTTGGTTATCTATATTGTATTAGATTCGATTTTTTATATAAATTTCATAGAATACATATAGTCTAAAACCAATATTATGTGATTTATTATATATAACTATATAAAATAAAAAGTTATATCTAATAATATTAATATTATAATAAAATTTTATATTATTAGGATTTGGGTTTCATAGCTTAGTGATTAAGTTTTCGAACCTCCACAGAGAAAATCAACAGTTTGATTTTAGCTAGAGATAAAAACTTTTATAACTTGCTATAAAGTTAACAAAAGAAATAAGAAGAAGAGGATTGTTATTATAATGGGATATAAGCTATAATGATCTAAAAACAAAAATTATATGGTTATAACAATTAAAGAGCTAATAATCAAATAAAAAAATTTTTGCCAACAAAATGGATGGTTGAAGCAAAAAAGTTACTCTGTAATCTAATTGTTATAGAATGAGTTGTAGTATTAGTTTTATTATTAAGTTTATTATTAGTTATTATTAATATATTATTAGTTAT